TAAAATAAACGTCATTCACTCTGAAAAGCTCATATTTAAGCATTGAAATGACCACAGCTGGCATTCATAGGCAATTTGAATGCCAACTGGACACATGCAATTTCCATGAAGCGTGTTACTAACATTTCGTGAGGAGGATATTCTTTGAAATTATCTCCATGGTATAATGTATACAGACGGAGTAACAAACGGATGAACTAAAAGCAGCAGCGATACTTTTATGGGGACAATTATAGACTATTAATGCTTGAGTGGCAACTCAGTTTTATGGTTCAATTGCTTGTAATGTAAGTACAAACCATGCAATTATAAAGATAAATTTAAATTTTAAATTAATTTTACGTTAACAAATTGATTAAATGCCTTCATGAAAGGACTTTCACAAAATACCATTTCTATATTTAGTGATGATATCAGATGACGGTTAGCTAGAGTGAATATCATACCGCCCACATGTCGAAAACCCCTTTTCCTCTGGACCTAATTCATTACAATACCCATACGAAGTTCTTGGTTTAGATTACAGTAATTGTCCTCGTGTGAAATTTGCTTACCATGGACAGTACTGACAACTTAATCGTTTGACGTCAGTCGGGACGTTGGTGTTTCGGACCAAGTTCACGTCTGTTTTGTGTCATCAGACTGGTCGAATGTAATCAAATCACCATCGATCTTCGTTTATAAATATTAAGCCGGTATAATTACATGTTGAATGTAGGATAAACATCAATTTGTCTTACTGTTTTGATATTTCCATGTCTACGAGTCCCAAAAGTACAAACTTCAAGAACATAGCTAATGCGCATGGAAAGCTAGCGACGACTGGAAAATAAACGATAGGTTATCAGCTCCCACCCGGTATATCTACACCCACGCTGTGTGGAGGTGTATACTTAATGATACACGCCTACGCCGTGTGAATAGTGTGTAAACATCTGAAGACATATTGACAGGACCAACTGCAAAAATTTTCGTTTCTGATGATTTGCTTTGATTTAGAGCATAGATTGAATATTGCTTTGATTGATTTCATATGGTGGTGGATTAATTAGGCCTTGACATCATTTGTTTATTTACATGTGGTGTCACGTCATTGCACCAGCTAAGTTCAAATAAAGACGGGTGCCTAGAAAAACCAGCGTCGATAGAAGAGAGGTGAATCTGCTGGGCACCACACAGTTTTAACCGCAAAGCACTTAATGTTGACTTCGTCCTAATATCAACTCACTTCAATCATCCAATCGACCAAATACTATTCAATCTAGCTTTAGTTAAAATTAATGTTAATTGTTTTATCTATTCCCTTGTGTTCACAATGTCACGACTACAAAATGAATTCTTCACCATACATATTACCTTTCGGCTACCAGCCGGCCGAAGGGATATGCGTAAAAATCAGTGTATTTTATCAGCTACATGTAGCATTGGTTTTCTGTTAGGTATTCCGAGACGTAGTACATATATTGTTTCAGGGTCACTGTTCCTCTGTCTTATATGTTGTGATATGTTATTGTTCATGTTTTGTCGTTATAAAGAGGTGGATTGCCCTGAAAGCTGACAAATTTCTTTGCCTTCACTATCGTTAGTACGTCCTTGCCTATATACATTGTTAAGTAATACGTATCCAACGGTTGTCTGATTGGTCAGATCCAGTGTCCATTTATATTGACAAAGCTAACCGACTAGCATTTTCTACAGTCACAGTGGCCGTCATTAGATGTCGTCATAAGCTTAAGATGTCGTCAATAAGATGTCGTCATAAGATGTCGTCGATAAGATGTCGTCAATAAGATGTCGTCATAATATGTCGTCATAAGACAGAGACACATGCGATATGCAATCAGTTAATCCATAAAGCGTGACGTCATCGTCAGACCTGTCACATGGGACTTTTAGCGCATAGTCAATATCCATATCTCAACAAATTCACAGTTCCATTCAGAAGGATTCGTGAAAGTGATAACTGGTTCATTTGAACTACATATATTTTACGGGTAAATCGTTTATTTGTGAAGTACTAGGTATTTTCATATGATTATAGTTCGTAATAGTGTGAATTATATAAAATTTAAGATTTAAACACCATAAATAAATAAATAAATAATACTGTTGTATATGAAAGAGTAGCGAAAACTATTTCCATAATATTTTTATTATTTGTTTTTATAAATTCTGCCTTAATGTATTGTTTGACACGCAGTGAATATAGTAATAAGATATATTAAATGTGGTCTTTGTTATTATTAGTTAATGCCACGACAGCTACATGTATATCTGCTAAAATAGTGTGTTTTTTTAAAATTAATATTACCTAATTTTGTAACTGATTAATTGTGCCATGGGTTCTAGTACTTTCATCATATTTTCAGAAATAAGCAATGAACGAATCAATCAAGTTTAAATTACAATCATGATTAATAAAAGATGTAAGAAACTTTCAATTTGAAGTTCAAACATATTAGCTCTGAAAACTATGATGCCGACAGGACGATATAATATACCAACAGAACGATAAAATGTGCAGACAGAACGATATAATATGCTGACAGAACGATATAATATGCTGACAGGACGATATCATATGCCAACAGAACGATATAATATGCCGACAGATCGATATAATATGCCGACAGAACGATATAATATGCCGACAGAACGATATAATATGCCGACAGATCGATAAAATATACCCACAGGACGATATAATATGCCGACAGAACGATATCATATGCCGACAGGACGATACAATATGCCAACAGACCAATATAATATGCCGACCGAACGATAAAATATACCCACAGGACGATAAAATATGCCGACAGGACGATATAATATGCTGACAGAACGATATAATATGCCGACAGGACGGTACAATATGCTGACAGAACGATATAATATACCGACAGGAAGATATAATTTGCCGACAGAACGATATAATATACCGACAGGAAGATATAATTTTCCGACAGAACGATATAATTTGCCGACAGAACGATATTTTAGACACAGCAGGGAACTATTGTGGACGTGAGTTGTGTTTCATTGTAAAATGGTATATGTTCAATAGATTGCCCGTTAAGAAAAAATGGCTGATGTGTTAAGAATACCGCTATGATAACGAGCTTGTATCGAGCGATAGAAAACTGATTACAGTTAGGCATACACGCAATGCACCATCAGATATTCTCTTTCAACACGGCATTTCTAACGGAAATAAACAAACCCGTGCTTAAGATAACATACAAATCCCTTGTTTTTTCCGTCCTGTACATCATACCTTTGTTACACCGGCCCAAAAAACCGCTTCCTGATACAATATATAAAGCATTTCTGTTGTCTAATTGAATAGACCATCACCACGTTACGGACCCAAAATAGCTCAACTCGTCCATTTACTTTGCCCGTTAAGGAGAACGGACATGATTAAGGTGAACGCAAACAGATGTTAAAACTTATCTTATGAAACGATCTTTGTAATTAATTGAAACATGTCTTGATATTTAGGATGCTTTACAGGCAATGTGGATTCTTTTAAATTTATTTTGTGACGTCATCGTCCTCAATAGGGTGTGTTGCATTTACGCTGAACATAGGGATGAACCATTGGCGTCATCATATCCAATAATTTGTACCGACCTGTTTCTTAATCCCATTTACAATATGATGCAGTTTATATTATTTTCTATAATAGGGTTTAGTTGAAATATTACAAATAATTGTAAAGGTAGTTTTAACATATACATGCATTTAATTTATTGAAGGTACCTCCATATTGATTACTAGGCCATAATCTGAAATTGGTCACCGCGCTATATGTTATCTATAGTTGATCACTAGGCCAAAACAATTATAGTTGATAACTAATCCATAATCCACAGTTGTTAACAAGTTTATAATCTATAATTAGTCGGCAACCTATAATCTATATAGTTGATTACCAGCCTATAATCTATATTACTGATTACCAGTCTATAATCTATATTACTGATTACCAGTCTATAATCTATATAACTGATTACCAGTCTATAATCTATATAACTAATTACCAGTCTATAATCTATATTATTATTTTAATTGATTTTGAGCTGACTCTGATTGGCTGAAACAACATCATGTGACCACCTGTAAAAGTAGTTATAAACCTGAGTGGTTTGCAGGTGTTCAAAAAAGTTGGTAGAAAAAGTGTTATTGACCTGCTATAAATAGATTCTGGAATTTTTGTGAAGTCATTTAGATGCTTGATTAACACCTCATGGGAGACAAACACAGTACTGATCAAGATTAACACTGAAGTCACTTATTGCAGATATTTAAATGATTATTGCAGATATTTAATTAAAAAATGTTATTTTTCTGATATTTTTGATTAGTTAATTTTAAAATTTGTGACTAAAAAAAATGGAAATTACATTTTTTTCTTCAACTTTGAAAAAAATCAATTAAAATAATAAAACTATTGTAGCATGGTGATTTCGGTCGATACATGGTTTTATCGACCTAGGTTAGCAATATTGACCTCGGACTGCGTCCTTGGTCAATATTGCTAACTTAGGTCGATAAAACCATGTATCGACCTCATCACCATGCTATAATTGTATATTATAGAAAGACAAAGGCTGAGTTTAAAGTTCGGCAAATTCTATGCATAATTAATTATCATACTCTTGATACATTGGATTGAATCTGCACAATACCTTAATGAAATGTGACTGGATATTGATGATAAGTGGACTCTGTTTAGACCAAACACCAGAGGGACCATATTATTTGGGTGGTTTGTAGAGAGTTCTGGATTGTAGAGGGTTCCGGTTTGTAGAGAGTCTGCTTCAACATTATTTCTGAATTCTTGTTAAGAATACAATCAATTTTACCCATGCGATATAACCTTCCCAAATGTGTCAGTCAGGTGTGTAATAATTTACCTGTATCAGCCTAATGTGTTATAACATAACTTGTATCNGGGACACGGAGTGATGCTAACCTGATCAAAGGAGATGGATTTAAAAAAAGCATGAATGCGTTCAATTCCATGACAAAGGAGCTAAAAAGGCAGGGTAAAGCAGTTGTTGAGCATCACCCCCCAATCAATGACGACGACCTGGAGACATTGTATGCTTACCTGTCAAGTGATAGGGAATCTAGGCAGCTACTACAGTACAATGTAATTATTTGTAGATACTAAACATACAGACATATGTCTTTAAATACTTCCATTTAAAAAAACACACAAAAAAGCAAGAATATAATTAAATGCTACAGATTAAAACTGTTGACTGTAATTCATATTCCTGTAATTTTGCAAAAGACTACCATGCAGTGTAGCATATTTAACGAATTTTAGCAAAAAAATGTCAGGCTGCTTTTTTCTAAATATTTTTATTCTGTATTTTGAATAGGTCTTTGTCGACTTGATGCTGCATTTTGGCAGAAGAGGCAGGGAAAATCTTGCTACCTTGAAAAGATCTGACTTTGCTGTGACAACGGATGCTAAGCATTGTATGTACGTGTACAAAGACACAGAAGAGAGGACAAAGAACCACCAGGATGACTCGGACAGGTCAGGAGACGGCAGAATGTATGAAATAAAAGGTATGTTTATACACTGTAGAACGACAACAATTACTAGATTTAATGTCATTGTTGTCACAAATATCCATAACAGTTATACAAATAAATAAATGTCATAATGGGAATTGTTATTATCAAATTACCCACTGTGTGCACATTTTTATTATAAATATAGAAATCTAGGGGAAGAAATAGTAACAGCAACAGTTTGTAGCTGGTCCATTTTATTTTATCCCTTTTTCTTATAAACCTAGAATAAAAACACGTATTTGCAAGTAGTAATTCACATTCTTCTCTTTCAGAAAATGAGAGATGTCCCGTTAGGTCATTATGAAGTATCTCCGGATGCTTAACCCACAGAACAACAGGCTGTTCCAAATGGTGAGGGCTACTCCCAAGGATGGGATTTATTTCAACAACTCTTCATTGGGTCACAACAAGCTGGGGTGCTTCATGAACGATATCTCCAAGTTAGCCGGACTGTCAAGAGTCTATACCAACCATTCACTGAGGGCGACTACTGTGCACTTGCTTGATGCCGCACAAATACCGAGTCGGCACATTATGACGGTAACAGGACATAGAGCAGAAACATCACTAAAAACATATTCTGGAAAAACGGACGAGAACACTAAGAAAATCATGTCGACAACGATCAGCGAGAAAATGAAAGGCGTTAACACTGGACATAGAGGGCCATCTGTGTTAGAGGATATTACATCTACGGTGACCAACAACAGTGCCGATGATCTGATGGGTGTCAGTTTTGACCTAGAGCCACTGTCACATTCACAAGAGAACACCCTAATGTTGGAATTAGGAGAGAACAATTTAGGATTCGATGACATTGCACGCACAATTAGCCTCCCCAGTGATGAGGAGTACAGATCCCTAGTGCGCAATATACCAGTGTTCCCTAGGATGCCTCAAATGCCCAGTTTCCCCACCCAACCTGTGCTTAATAACTGTTNAAAGGATTGATTCAGTAATTTGATCAATGATTATTGCAGATATTTAAATGATTATTGCAGATATTTAATTAAAAATGGAAAAAAAATGGAAAACTATATTTTTTTACATTTTTTTCTTCAATTTTGAAAAAATCAATTAAAATAATAAAACTATTATAGCATGGTGATTTCGATCGATACATGGTTTTATCGACCTAGGTAAGCAATATTGACCTCGGACTGCGTCCTCGGTCAATATTGCTAACCTAGGTTGATAAAACCATGTATGATTCGCTCGGGTGTAATAAATCCCTTGTTACTCAAAAAACATGCAATAACCTTTACATGTTTACCTGTATACGGGATTGTGTTGTAATTTTACATGTGTCGACTAAGTTTGTTTGAAAACACAGAAAACACAATTTCTAAATATAAGAATGAATAGACAGAAAGATAAGTTTATTTGTTTAACCACGAAACCGTATAAATTGTTAAGGCATTCCTCAATTTACACCAACCACAAATTTTATCGCACAACGTCCGTCCATCGTGCGCACAGATGTGCGCAAGCAATGATCGTCCAGCTTTTTATCGTTCACCCATCGTGCACACACCGTTGTGCGATCCCACAACTATATACAAACCATAACTTACAGTATAGAGAAAATGCTTGTGTTTAAATTGTACAATTGATGTCACCTCATGAAGGTTACGGTTAAAGTATGGGGCTGAGGGATATAGCAGGTTTCTGGTGTCCATTAACCATGTCTATTTCCCTCGGCTTCCCTCAACCCCCATACTTTAACTGTATATTATAGAATCATTATTGTGGTTCTGACATTGTTGATACTCTAGTAAAATTGTTTTACGAGACGTTGCTCACGTTTGTACAAGGACGGTTCCCTCATAAGAGGGCCTGCCATGTTTTTTTCAACTGTTACACAATTATCAAAAACGAATACGTAACGTGATTTTTACGAAATTGGTTCTTATCACGTGATCTTTTAGAAACGTCTGTAATATATGTAACTTTATGTCAAAGTGAAATATTTATGTTAATATTGAGTAATTTTTGTAACCCTCTAAAGGTTATTGTTCCAAAGACGGGATATTTACACGATGAAATGTAGTGGTGACCCAGTTCTACCTTTTTGCCGAATTTAAGGTGAATAAGAGTTGAATAATAGACTGGTCACTAACTTGTTTTTGTTTTTGATATATTGTATTTCCTTGTACGATTTGAATATCAACGTTTTAAACTCTCTGGTTAAGTGTACTGGAGGTGTTCTCACTATTAGTGTGTTTTAATGATGTCTCGGCAAGAAAACAAGAATAAAAGAAAGATTTTAGGGTACTGTGGTGACTTCGTGCTGAACATGTTAAATCCAACAATTATGCAAGTTGAAATCGATTAAGGTATTTAAATGTTCTCTATCCGGAGATTTTTCCCACCTCCTGTTACGAGACTTATACATGCTGCTAGGAGTCCTCGGGGAGGGATTTCTCTGACCTTTACCCCAGCCGATATTGTTGCTGCTGTTAATATTAATCCTGTATATATGAAGCCGCATTTCTGTGGCATATAGTCATTCATCAGAAATAATTTCAATATTTAAAGTTACATATAATTATGTTTTGTGTGCTATTCAGCAAGTCCCGGTATTTGTTTTGCTTCGTTTTGTTTTTGCGTTAAAACGAAATCGACAAAAAAAGGAATCATTTGACAAATATTACATGATATGATGTTTTTTTCATTAACTCAAAGGCGACAATACCAATTTATTGTTGATCTCAAAATGACATGTCTGAGATTAGCAGGTTCGGTAGAGAAATCTGTATTGGAAAGCATTCTTTTATTTGTGAATCAGTCGAATTCGTAAAATTCGACCATACTGTATTTTCGAACGTATGAAAACTTTTTTTGTAGTATAGGCAATCCCCCAGCCGTTTAAACTGTCTCCATTCTCTTGTTATGATAGCTTTCTTTTCAAAGAAACGGCGAACGGCCATATAAATAAATACTTGTAAAAAGTACATCAAACCCAAAATGAAATATACTGAAGACGATATTGCGAGAATGATTGAGTTCCTGATTGACAATATCTTTGTTGATTCGATGGAAATATTTTCCAGCAGACTGCATGCATTTTCATGAGAACAAACTGTTCCTCTCTTCTGGGCGATTGTTTCTATTTTCATATGAAGCTGAACTTATTGATGACCTATCAAGAGAGGTCGCATCAACCTAGCCGGAGTCTTTCGATTTCACATTCAGAAAATATTGGATAACAAGATAGTCATCGACCACATCGATCGTACATGTACATGTATATACCCTCCAGAGCTTAAAATCAAGGACAACACCGACTGCTCTACGTCAGCCGCTTTTCTCGATCATTCCTTACAACATGATCAGCAAAGACGTCTTACTACTAAGCTGTACGATAATCTACGATAATGTACTATCACCATCGTTGGAGGTATTCAAAACATCCATCCAGACCCTCCAACCCTGGTCCACACACCCTGCCTACTATATACCAGCAGTGACATGTACAGTATAAATATGTTATGGTTTAACCATTTTAAATGTTGGACACTGCCATTCAACAACGCGCATGTAAATAGTTTCCTCATCAGTAAATGTCCCCGATGGTTGATCTTTCCCTTTCTTTATAATAACATCCGCGCTCCCCCTGTTCCCGGTACACGACTTTGCTTTACATGGTGGGTGTAATCCATAAAGCAGAAGACGCGTGCTCTTCAAATAAAACCTTGTTTTAACACCCCTCCCCCCCCTCCCCCCNTCTTGTGTTTTCTTGGTGGTTTTGTGTCTAATTGGTTCTCAGTGCGCGACCAAACATCACTCAATTTGGTGTCTGTTCAAGCATTCTATACTGTATGACTTACAATATTACCTCAGGAATCTAAACAGTCATAGATGGTGGGCTATAGGTTTGCACTCCGTCCATCGCCTTCCGAGAAGTTTGTCCGGAACATATCTTCTCTACTCTTTCATATGTCGTAACCAGATTTGTTGGACAAGGGCATCTTGGTATGACAGAGTGCAATAATTAGGTCACTGTGACGTATAACTTTTTAATTTGAAAAAAATTGTCCGGTGTATATCTTCTCTATTATTTTACCTGGAGTAACCCGATTTGTTGTTAAAGGACATTTCTGGATGGTAGAGTACAAGGAGTATGTATCTATGACCTCACTATAACCAATGATTCCTACATGTATCATAAGTGTACTGTTTGTTAAAACATACCTTATAAGTATAGAGTAAGCATATGTATGTGAGAAAACAAATCGTTGTGACTTTGTCATGTAACGTTTTGACTTAAAGTGACATTCTTAAATATATATAAAAAATATTACACCAGACCCTGCTGCACAAATGTCGGTTAACTGTAAACAGTGGTTAGTAAAATTTTCGAATTGTTGCTTGTAAAAAACAAAGGGCTTAAAAATCTATAGCAATCCTCAAAACACACCAATCTGATCTGTCGTAACACATCTATAGAAGTGAGATGATATAAGATATTCTGCATGCAATTGTATTGACGTTTGAATATTTCCTAATCCACTGGTAACTCTGACCAAGCTACGTGCAACGTTAACAGGGGCAAGAACGACATGCACTGACCAGTTGTGTTCCTCTTATGATACTGAAGATTTCATAGCTATATTTTCTCCAGTACTATCGCACTGAGCAATCTCAGCAGTACAAATTGTAGCTGGGTCATCTTCACCGACAGCCGCCATTGACCTTAGCCATTATATGCCGGAATAAGTTTTTCTGTCCGCAAACTTGTCTCATTCAGTAATGGAGCTCCCACTTGTGATCCCACGGGACACATATTCCTAAAGTGTCTATTCAAGGCAGATCGTTGCCACGTCTTGGTGTAATATAGTTAGTGTTAAGTGCTGTTGTAAACCAGGTTCCTACAGTGATGTTCAACTACTGTCAATATAATATTGGACAGACTAGACGGAGAATATAGGAGGATATAGCGGAAACGAAACAGTGCAGAATAGAAATAACTGACCAAATTCTGAACACGTATTTGAATCAATCATTGGCATTCGAGGACACAGGGTATTGTATTTTGATAGTGAAACCCCGGCCCTTGTATAACATTTCCGTTAACGTTAAAACTTCACAGCGTATGTATCTTTACAAAAATAATTGCCATGGAAAATGAATAACGTTATTTTTGAAATTGATTTCCTGATTAACAGGGCTATCAACTTTTATAATATGATAATTGATTGCTATATTTGAAAGTATGCCTCTTACTTTTGATATTGATATGATTAGGGAGATTTCTGCACCTCCCCCTCTGTGTCAACAGTAGTTTAGACCAATATGGATGTCCGTGCATTTTTGGCCGCTAGCAACACTGATGAATCCTAGAAGGACGAAACTT